CTAAGTCCCCAAAGAGTTGAACAAATAACCTACAATGATGTCCTTGCTGCCACTGGAAACCATGTTACTGTCCATGATCCACTCTGGGATCATGTTGATGTTGTAATCCATGTTGCCACTGGAGATCATGATGAAATTCATGGTCCAAGATGCCACCAGAGACCATACAGATTGCCCATGGTCTGTACAGGTATGGAAAGTCCATGATCTGTGCTGCCGGTGGTTGTTATGGGCAAAGAAGAATCTGTTGCAGTAGTATCAATGAGTCTACAGTCTCAATTGAGAATAACAGACATTGAAAGATTCTACAATACACCCACCCATCCCCACAAAAGAAAAAAAAAAGTCTAGACATGAAGCTATTGAGGGAAGTCCTTAAAAAAAGATAAAGATGCTGAAGTATAGCTCTTTGTAGTTGTAGACTTCTGGTGGTAAGGATGGGAAAGGTCTCAGTTATGAGTAAGGGACAGTCCACTGGGAGTTTGACCATGCTCCAGTGAGTATATGGGCAACACAAATTGTAAGAGAGTGGACCTGGGAGGAATGGAAAGTGAGTGTGGTCGATGCATTGCATGAAATTTCTAAATAATTGATAAAAAATATTATGTTGGAAAAAAAAGAAGAAAGTAAGGAAATAGTAACCACTTTAATTACAAATTTCCTTGTAATTTTTCTGGGCTTCTATTTTTCTTTCAATTACAGGACTTCAAATCTTTTCAAACTTTATGGAGAATTAATTATTGGTATGGGAGACTTTTGTTCTTCCAAAACCCAATCTGGTAAGACGTATACTATGGATTTCTTTTACAAATCAAAGTATTAAGCATTCTTTGGAACAAGAATGTTATCCTAGGAATACATCGCAAAATTATGCAAATGTAGTTACATTTCATATAATGGATTCAAATTTAAGTAAAAATTTAAGGCATCTTTCCCACTTGAAAGTGACAAAATATTTCATAAAACTTGTCATAAACCTGTGAAGTAATTTTCAGAAAAGTAACTTTTGGCTCATATGAATATAAACTATATGTAAAATGTATTTTCAACTCAGAATTGTTGAAAAATATATGATAATGTGTATTTTCCATAATTCAGAGAATCATTCAGGAATCGACTAGGGATTTCAGTTACAAATAACAACCAATATTAGTTTACCAGTTATATGACATGTACCTTACCAATGCAATAAGGAAAAATGCTTGCAGTGGTAGACGGAGCGAGTGCATCTTCTATGTACTATTTATGTAAACTGAAAATGTTCTACAGGCCAGATAATAAAGAGAATCACAGACCAAGCAAGATGTTTACACAAACAAATCCCTTTGGTAGTGTCTTGGTCTGAGTCCCTTTGGAGCTCAGAATTCCCCAAAACATCTCTAATTCCTAGCACATAGTACTATAGTACTAAGTATCCTGGCACCCTGAACCTCGTGGTCTTGCGATATTAAACTTATTCTGCTAACTATTGGCCACAGACCCCTCAACATTCATTCCAGCCAGCCACTTTCTCCAACTCTACCCCAGGAGGAGCACCTGCTTTGATTTTGCTTTGAGTATTGTTTGGCAATAGTTGCAATGTAACTATTAATGACAACTGTCCAAAGGCGCCAACTGAATTTAATTATGTTTATCCCAGATTCCAATATAATAACGAAAAGATTATTTAAGGGATAGCTTGGGAATATCTTTATGCCACATGTTAGCATTGGCCATTTTAGTCTATCTCAGGATGTTTTATATATCAGCCTGCACAGCATTAGATTCTGTTATGGCATTAACTTGATTCTGTTTATTCTTCACCTTTACCCCAATCCCTGACCCTCTCCCTCATCACTTCCTTTCTGCTTCCATGCCACATCACACAAAGCCTACTGCAACTCTTACTAGTTTCATAACCTATTTCTACATTCACTAGGATTTATACCTATAACAAGTTAGGATCTACATATTATAGACTATATAATTTGTCTTTCTTGGTCTGAGTTACCTTGTAATATTTTTCAGATCCATTTTTCTTCTAATTTAATTCAATTTTTTTCTCTACAACCAAGTAAAATTTCATCATGTATATATACATTTTCATTATCCGTTCCTCTGCTGATGGACATCTAGCCTGGTTTCAGTTTCCTGCTGTTGAAAATATTATAGCAATAAGCTTGGACATGCAAGTGTTACAGTGGGAGAATGCTAAGGCCTTGGAGCATACATCAGGAAATAGTATAGCTAGATCATATTGAAAATTTACTTTTAATTTTTAAGGATTTATTTATTTGTATTCGTGTGCATACACTTAGTGAATGTTTACACTTGTATGCAGGTACCCACAGAGGGCAGGAGAAGGTGCCAGTTCCTCTGGAACCTTACTGTCCCCTTCTTGATCAAAGCTGGAAGATACATTTCCAAAGTCATTGTAATTTGCCTTTCCTTGATAGCTAAGGATGCCAAACACACATCCTCTTCTCCCTCCAACCCTCCTAGTACCCTCCAACCTCCTTCTCTCCCAGATCTATTTCCATTCAGAAAAGTACAGGCCTCCCAAGGATATCAACAGAACATGGCATAACAAGGCACAATAAGATTAGGGGAGAAAAAACCCTCATATCAAGCAACCCAGTGGGAGGAAAAGGGTTCCCAAGAGTAGGCAAAAGAGTCAGAGACACCCCCAACTCCTACTTTAAGAGTCCCACAAAATCCCTAAGCTAAACAGCCACAACATATTTGCAGAGGACAAAGACAGACAGTTATAAAGGAGTAAAGATAAAAGATAATAAAATAAATATTAAAAAGCTATAGAGTAAAAATAAGCCACATAAAGACTGGAATTTCACAGAGTCTGGATTATGTATATTATTGTGTTATCTTTGAATTTTTTGACTATGAAGGAGCTATGTATAGAGAGACATTTCATTGTATGGGCTGCTAAGCTAAACCAGTATATTATAAAGGTATGATGACTTCCAAATTTGGGTATAAGGATATGTTGCTTTGGAAAGAGGTTTTTCTCTTGTTTCCACAGAGGATGAGAACCTGTGGATTGCTTCCAGACTGGTATGGTATGATGGAACAAGACCCCCTGAAAGGTTGCTGTGAACACCCTCAAAAAATTACTTCACCCAACTGCTGACTGAGATGAACCTAGCACACAGGATACACCATGAAAAACCTGATTAACAGTGTCCCCAAACAGCAAGAAGCAGTATGGACAGAACTACGCCCATATTCCCAAATATTGTCTGTAAATGTTCCTTTACATTTAAAAGGGGATATGCTATAGAGATTAGCATTGGTATGGATCTTGCTTTATTAATACAAATTTAAGGTAAATTTTGTTATACTGTATGTGTATATTTCTACCCTTGATTAAGGTATTGTCTTTGTTCATTTAAAAATACAATGTATAATTAAGAAATATAGGTTAATAGTCATCAATAATAGTGAAGCTCATAGTCATTATACACACACATACATATGTATATATGTATGTCAGTTACTGACATTATATATACATATATATATATATATATATATATATATATATATATATGTCAGTTAGGTATTTTCCAAATCTTTCAGACCTTCAGAATATGGCATTTAAAATGTTTAAGAACTTAGAACTTTTCATGACAGTGAGACACATCTGTTCCTGGCAGCACCAAGCTACTTCAAGAGGATGATGGGCACTGAAGAGGCTCCTTATGGAGTTGGTTAGCCATTTGAACAAGAAACTGCTCTTGCCTGGACTGCTTAACTGGACATACAGGACCTGCAGAGAAATGACTGATGAACTTGCCTAAAGGTGAGACAGTGCTTCAGGGTTCCTGCTTCATGAAAGAGTCTGCTAGATATTCTGCAGGATACAGAAGAAAGTGACTGACAAACTGCCAGTATAGGTGGAACTCTCTTTGAAATTTCCTGCTTTGTGGAAAAGTATGCTGGATACTTTGGGCATGTAGGCTAAAGATGGATGCCCCTACAGTACAGAAGAACTTTGGGTGACTGTCCAGGTAGCAAGAAGTCTCTGTCAATTCTAGAGTTTTGGAAGTTGCTTTAAATGAACTTATTGTTTACTTAGGTAATAATATATCCTTCTGGAGTCTTTAATGGAGTTGAAGAATAGATAGTTCTATAGTTTTGCTTAGATATGGTATAGATATAAATATTGTAACTGTAATTCTTGCTTAATACCTGTTTTGTTATATGTAATTTTACTATGTTAACGTTAAAGTCTTCTTTTTTATTTAAACAGAAAAGGGGAGGTGATGTGGGAGTCCCCTCTATGTGCTGTAATTACCACTATGAATAAAGAAACTGCCTTGGCCTGTTGATGGGGCAGAACTTATGTAGGTGGGGAAGGTGGAACTGAATGCTTGGATAAAGAAGGCAGAGTCAGAGATGCCATGGATCCACAGCCAGAGGTAGATGAGCTGAAACTTTGCTAGTAGGCCACGACCTCGTTGTGATATAAAGATTGATAAAAATGGGTTAAATTAAGATATAGGAGTTAGCCAATAAGAAGCCACAGCTAATGGGCCAAGCAGTGTTTTAATTAACATAATAACAAAATAATCTGTATGATTATTTTGGTTCTGGGTGGCCAGGATGAACAAGCAGCCCCCTCATTCAAAAGGGCACAGCACTATCAGTTGAGAGAGGTGTATGCAGTCCCTGAGGGAGCACAGCTCTATCAGCTGAGGTGTACACAGTTCCTGAGGGAGCACAGCTCTATCAGCTGAGAGGTATGCAGTCTTGACTTTGCACTTATTACAGCTGTTGTGGGAATACTACCCACCTTCCCAGAAAGATGTTGAGGCAATGATTTTTAGCTAATGAAATACGAGAGGCCTAGAAGGCCCAAGTCTTGTATTCTGATCAAAGATTCTTCTATATATTTATGGAAAACATTTACTTAAAAGTCAGGTCATTGTGAGACCTTGGGTTAGAGAGCCTGAAATGTCAAATACATTTCTATACCAACATTAGGTACCACAAAGACAAAATATTTTTGTAAAAAATTTATTTCTCTGTAAATACAAATTCCAACATCAACAAACAATAGTCCAGTGGAAAAATACTAGCCATTAACATTGAAAACTTTTTCTCTTAGTTTAATAAATAGAACTTTGGCATTCAAATTTCTAGCTGTAAACCCTATTTAAAAAACAAAACCAAAAACAACTCCTTTCCAAAAAGGAGGAAAAACAAAGTCAGAAGGCATAAGCCAGCCAGTGGCTTCACATTTTTTTTTTACAATAACTGTATTTCAGTTAAATCATGAACACTGTATTTACACATGAGGTATTCTGGTGGTTCAAAAACTGAACCTAGTTTACAAACCCACCAGTCAGTGACTGATTGCACACTCTGCTGTGCTGTGCTTTTAATGTGACCGTCTAGCACCTTACTACTTCTGGTCACCACGCCAACATTATGTCAATTTCATGCTTAAGTATTTAAATAACTGCATATATAATATATAAATACACACACATACATACAAATGAGTACATTTTAAAGGAATTTCCTGCTCTCTATACAGAAAAGGCTGAGCTTCAAACACATCCAAATATGATATACATCCTCTCAAGTTTACTAAGGTAACTATCATCTAAGAAGAAATGGCTCTTTTTAGAAAAATTCTTAAGTCTATTTACCAAAGAACAAGGTGCAATAATCAACATTCTCATAGTTCATGTAAGAGAAATAAACACTGCAGGCAAAAAGGCACAAAAGGTTCTCTCTGTATGCAGCTGCAACAGTGTTGCCAATGACTTATTGATTTCAAAGTACATTCTATTATATTGAATATTTCATTTAAATAATAAGAATCTCAATCATTCCCTTTCATGATTAAATGTATGATGCATTCATACAGCAATTACCATCAGTGTGTTTTGGGGGTGAAATTGAAATTTTACTCTTTGTACCAAACAGGACACAGTTTCTCTTCGTTCGTGAGCACTGAAAAGAACTGTCAGAAATGGAAACGAATGGGAAGCAAGGGCTACTGGTGGCTCCAAATGTCATCTGCTTGGTCTGTGTGGCCATTCAGAGAACATCCTATCACTCTACCATATATCCGGTGACAGAAATATAGACAAGAACTCCAGCAATCTAAACCAGAGGTGTGCTAGCACTGAACAGTACTGTGCAAAATAGCCTGTTGCTCAGCTCCTGTTGCTCAATATTGCTGATATTTAAAGAGCATTCTCCAACGAAACGGTCCCTTTACAACCTGCCCGAGATTCCCAATGAGTCTGAAACAAGAACAATATTTCCTCACAACGTTCTAAGTCGAACTGTCCAATATTCCCTTTAGCAACATTTTCTAGCTCTTAATATTTTTCTAACAAGCTACTAAAAGTTAAATTCAGTTTCACAAAATTAAAATCCCACAACCATCACTAAGATATAATAATACTAACTTTAAATAGTGAATCCATTCCAAGTATTAAAAGGGACCATGCTCTTAAGAATAAAATTCTTGTATATGTATCTTGTCAAGACTCTTACAACCAGACGCCATTGGAAACGCACTAAGTTTAAGTCTGCTTTTCTGACATCACACGCGAGAACAGTGCATCTCTGTGTCCTTGATTCAGCTAGTTCTACTGGCATAGGGAAACGGTGACTTTCCTGCAGCAACTGTTAGCCTACCTCTGTTCTACGTGGCTGTGTTCAAATGGCTTCACCTTGAATAGACTAAAAGTAAAAATACTGTGTAACACTTCTTAGGAGAATAAGACTTTATACACAAATGCATAAATGAAAAAAGATCATTGCATATGAAAATTTACAGATAGATTTACTTTAGAGTTAAGTTCCTTCTTATTGTAGGCTTATGTTATTATAGTAACTCCATGTACACCCTACTTCAAAATGTGGACAAAACACTATAGAATTGCTGTTTGCCATTGCACTTGACCTAATGATAATTTTTTGTTTTCAATGGATGTGATATTATTATTATTCTAACATGGGTGTGTCTCAAGGCAGGAGATGTTTCTGGAAAATGAAATGCTGACTAACTAGAACATAACTAGCTCCGTCTTCCTCAAAATTCCCTCCAAAGCTGACTCCTTGCTATCACAGTCCTTCATTAACTCTAGACTCTAGTAAGAGATTAGTATTTTGTAGTCAATTATATCAAAATATGAATCAAAATCTAACACATCTGAATGTCTTTTTAATGGTAGCATACAGTTTAAAAATTAAAATGTATCAATAAGAGTTTGGTAATTTCTTAATTAAAAATTTTTATTCTAACATATGCGAATTAAATTTATTAAGTTTTAGAAAGCTAGCCGAAACAAAAATTATTTATTGCAAATGGCCAGACGAAAGGTATTTGTGCATGTCTCTATGTGTAGATGACCGTAAATTTGTTTTAAAAAGCAGTAAGTAGAAAAACTCAAAGCATGAAACTAAGAACCTAGGACTTAGGTACTCTAAGAAGATGCTAACACACATCAGCAATAGTTGCTCTACAGGGCTATGGTTTTAGGTGGCTGTATTTCTGACACCATGAAAGAACAGGGAGGACTCTATCCAAAGCCAAAGTAAATCTGTTACTGTTGTAGCGGTTGACCAAGTAGATGTTATTATCTGACTTTACAGCTTGGGACCATCTACACATGTTACTTTTTGCACAGCATGTATTTTTGCAGTGAACAATTTCTTGATTATCATTAAAACATTACCCCCCCCAAACCCAATGAACACATTTTTAAAGAACCAAATTCTTAGACAGAATTCTCTCTGGGTTAGAGAGCTAGGTTGCATACTCGCTTCAACACACTGATTTATTAGTAGTCAGATCCCAAGAGGAGTAGAGTGGATTTAGCACTAAATAGAAGGGAAATCTGTCATTATTATATAGTATAACCAACTACTGAAATATAACTACCAAATGAATATGGACAATTCAATTCTGAACTAATTATCTTCCTAAGCAATCTCCTTAAAGGCCTGTTCTACTAAGTTCTCATTGATGAGATTAAGAAAAATCTTTCCTACCAGAATAAGCTTAGCAAGAAAACAGTTTATGCCAGTCAACAGTACTATCCTGCCGGCTCCACACCCTTTACTCTCCCACCTATGTAGTCCTGCCTGAAGAAAATTGGGTTGCATCTTAATTAATTAATTAATTAATTAATCTCCCACCTATGTAGTCCTGTCTGAAGAAAATTGGGTTGCATTAAGTGGAGAGGGAGGGATGAAGGGAGGGAAAAAGGAAGGAAAGGAAGGAAGGAAAAACACACCCATAAAAGGCAATGCTTTGCCTGTATTAAAAAGATTGTAATGAGTTCTCAGCTGGCAATAAAATATATAATCTTTCTAAAACATAAAATGATACACAGACAATATTATTTGAAGTTTAAATGACTGTATCTGCTCAAATGAGTTGCATTACATAGTAGTACCCTGTGCTCCAAATGAACCAACCTAAGCAATATCACACTCCATGACAAGCTGTTTGTAATGCAACAAATCTAGTAATTAAAATATCACTGAGACTTAGGCTTTGTTTTATGTTACTGTTAATTCATATATGAATAATGAGTTGGCTTTCTCTTAAAGTAGTTTAAAGCAGGCCCGACACTGCTTAAATGTGAGTGCCTAAGTGTGGATAAAAATCAGCCCTGCCAGAGTTACTTTATCATCTTCCTTTTTATACTAGTCACTGAAGGCCTCAGAGGGCTCCTATTAATTTTATATGGCTCTCTTTACATATATATCATAAATAAAGATTACAAATAGTAAGGGGTATGCTGAAATTAATTGCAATTACTTTTTGTATATTAACTTTTCATACAAAGCCAATGGAAAAATCCTCATGGCAGCTTCACACTGCTGAGACAATCTATGACCACTGTGGAAGAAACAGCTGTCCCCAGTGCCAAAATCAGCAAGCGCACCATCTCAATACAGCCACTTTTTAAAGTACTAATGACTTTCCTTGCTAGCCTTCTGTATTAGAACACTGCCCTGGAACTGGATCAGGTCAGTCTGCCTAGAAGAATCCAAAGTGAAGAATCAACAGTGTGTGCCTTTTAAAGTCTTGCTTTGACCCTTGAAATCCCATTACTGTGTTGACAGAGTCCATGCATATGCAAATGCACACGCATGGCAAGCACACACAGACAGAAAGACAAACAGACAGAGACAGAGTGATCAAGCAAGAGAATGAATGAGCACTCACATGTACGTACACAAAATGACAGGAGTAAGGAAACCCTATGCCTTTATCTGAAGAGCACTGTTCACAGCTTGGTCCTACAATCAGTAGTTTGAAAATGCAGGTTGTTTTGTTCTTTTTCTTTCAGACATTATCTCATTTTTCAAATAGTAACATGATTGCTTGCCTGATTTGATCAGCCCCTTCAAACTTCCTCAGAAAAGCAAACCTAACAACAGAAACAACAAAGCTGAAGTCCACTACAAGGAGCTTCACCTTTCCCTTATAGTCCTAAAAAAACCAAAGGAGTCTAACACAGCAGCATTTCACAATGGATCATTGTTGCTGTGGCCCAACACTTGATCACTGGGTAACACAGTTGTCTCCCATGTCCTGAGCATAGCGGTCTGATATTGTAGTCCTTAATTCATCAATGTCCCTCCGTAACTGGCACACATCTGAGAGCTTTTTAGTGAGTGCTTCTGGGCTGTGGTCATTTTCAGTCTCTTCAGCTGAACAGTTCATTGCTGTGTAAAGAAAGCATGGAGAGAATGTCTTAGGTTTCTGAATAGACAGTTCAAGATTCTCATGGAAACATGATGCTGTACAATGAATACCAGTGAGGCTTAGGTTCAAATTATACATTATTTGAGATTAAAAAGACCCTACCTGAGTGGTCTTAAAAAACCACTGCTAGTTAAAATGTATTAAATTCATATAGCATACACAAATTCAGCATGCTTGGTGAATAGCAATATTAGCAAGGCGACAAAGAGCGACTTCTCACATCTCTTTTTAAGTTCCACTAGTGTACTTAATTCTTTCCCAATGACAAAATTTGAAAATTATTTGTACAGACTAAATGTCCTAAATTTTATGATTACAAAAGGGAGTTTTACTGGCATGCAGACATTAGTTTCAAAAGATATAGCCAGAGTATTAGGACCATATAATCTCAAACAACTGAAACAAATGTATAGAGAATGACCTGAAGACTGAATAATGAAGGTGAGGGTCTAGCAGCTAGCTCTTAATTATCTACTCTAGTTTTTTTTTTAAAGCATGTTCCAATAAAAAAAAGCAAGAAAAATGTGAAATAAACTCTTTCAACCTCCGGCACAGCAGGCAACTAACTGGTTTTTTTTTTTTTAAGTACTAATGAACATTTGCCACGATCAAGGTATGATGCTGGATGAAGTCAATGATTTATTCTCAATGCTTTCCAAATGATTCCATAAATAACTAGGCGTAGAGTACACTGTGGATGATTCACCACTACCCAAAAGAGACAGCGGGACAGACAAAACATACGTAGACCTAACTGGAGTAATGGCTGGGACTTGTTTATTGGTGTGCTATCAAAACACAGAACACAGCAGTCTGACAGAAGCTGAGAAACAAGACTAGTAGTGTCTAGCCATTAAACAGTAGAGGACAAAATACATGTGAGAAGAGGCATAAGAAATAAGCTACAGAGATAAGCAGAACCTATTCTAACACAGGGAAGATATTAGGAAAAACAATTTATGGTTTAGATAAAACCCTGAAAACAATCTGAAAAATGGATAGGGAAAGGAGGATGAATAAGATGGGTAATGGTCCAGTTCAGGGTTATGTGAGCCTGACATAATGGTAGGAGTAAATATTAGCTCAATAGAGCTCAACTGCCAACAGTGAGGGTCAGGGACTGGGATCAGGTGGCGTATGGTAGTACTAAGTACTCTGAGGAGAGCAGAGCTGATCGGGACAGTGGGGGGACTTGAGTCATGCTGAGTCTCTAATACCTAGAAAAGAGCCAGTGTGTGTGTGTGTATGTATGTATATATACATATATTATGTATGTATATATGTATATATAAAGAGTTGAGTACAATCAGGAGACCAAAGATGCCTTCTAGACAAGGTGAGGGATCAGTATCTGTATGGGGAAAAGTATTGCAATAACAGAAAAAGATGTAAGTATTCAGAGAGAATAGTGACTAAAAGAGGAAACAAATGAAAATAGCCACTGACTAATAACTCTTGTGTACTCCAATATTTTTTTTTTTGAGACAGGGACCCATTATGCAGTTCTGCCTATTCTGTAACACTCTGTGGACCAGACTGGCCTTGAACTAACAGAGATCCACCTACCTCTGCCTCCCAAATGCTGGGGCTAATGGTGTGCCCAGATGAAACCCAGTAAGAAAGTTGCAGAGAAGTCTAGAGAATCTTGAGGCTAAGCAGTCTTTTATATAAAAGTAGAAGCAGAACTTGGGAATGATGTCATGAAAACCAAGGAGGCAGAGATTTGAAGGATACATGACATAGCAATTCAAAGTAGCTGGCCAGACAGAATTTCACAATGCCACACGTAAGGTAAGGACTTAGAGTTTGAACCTGAAAGTCTGAAAAAAGCTACCACGGGGATTAGTGGTGGTGAAGGGGGTGGAGTCTCAAACCTTCACTGCATTCATATTAGCCTAACTCTATTAATGTAAAGGCTAACAAATGCTATACTAAAATATAGATTAGAAAATAACTGAGGGGGATTTTACATCTCTGAAGTCTGTGATATGTGAACTTCTGTTTCTTCCTCCAAGAGATCCGTTCTAACCAGTGTCGGTGATCATCTGGCATCTTCTCTAAGAGCCACAAAGCCTTTCCAGCCCTTCCCATGTATATCAGTCAGTTCTAGTCTTTGATCACATCTCAATTACAGTACTTACTGAATCCATCTAATAATTCAGTTAATGTGAGAGAGGGGGTTGTTTAATGATCTGCACGGACAGCACCCAACTTAGTATCCACACCATTGAAGGTGTCTGATATCTGCTGACTAATACTGACCAGTGTTTTTCACATGCCTATATTTAAGCATGCCAACATACCTCTATGAAGTGAGGGTAAAAGTCTACTGACCTTGCTTAACACAAATATATGTTTCATTTAACAAGTGACATTCTTTAAGAGCATTTGTTTTAAGCCAAAGTACCTATTATGAGGTAATACAGTAGAATATTTTCTGGAGAAAATAGAAATATTCTCGTCACACACAAACCATACTGAGGCAAGCATTCCACAGAGCGTGTTCCACCACAAACTTTTTTATGTAGCCTTACCCTGTTTTTAAGCTTTTTACTTATATATTTCTTCCCTATTAAAAAGATATCAATAAGACAATATTCTATTCTTGAGAACTACACAAAGAGATGGGCATTCCTACAAAAAGAACCCCCAAAGGAAGGTTCGTATTAGTTTGTTACTGTGGCAGCTCTTCCACAATTCCAGGCAGAAAGGGAAAGAACTGAGACAGAGTAGAGAGGATGTCACAAAGAAAGCATAAAAGTCATGTGTGCCAAAGGCAGCACATCTGTGGGAGAGAATTTGGCTCCCTTGAAACGACTGGCACTCCCATTCAGCCACAGGACACAGGACACTTACAAAAGCAGTGAGTACAAAGAATAGAGACGCAGAGAGGGAAATCAGAGAAGCATCACCTTTCACGATAGCCACAAATAGCATAAAATATCTTGGGGTAACTCTAACCAAGGAAGTGAAAGATCTATTTGACAAGAACTTTAAGTCTTTGAAGAAAGAAACTGAAGAGGACACCAGAAAACGGAAGGATCTCCCTTGCTCTTGAATTGGGAGGATCAATATAGTAAAAATGGCAATTCTACCAAAAGCAATCTATAGATTCAATGCAATCCCCATCAAAATCCCAACAAAATTCTTCACAGACCTTGAGAGCACAATAATCAACTATATGGAAAAACAAAAAACCCAGGATAGCCAAAACAATCCTACACAATAAAAGTACTTCTGGAGGCATTACCATCCCTGACTTCAAACTCTATTACAGAGCTACAGTAATGAAAACAGCATGGTATTGGCATAAAGACAGAAATGTTGACCAATGGAATCAAATCGAAGACCCGGATATTAACCCACAAACCTATGAACACCTAATTTTTGACAAAGGAGCTAAAATTATACAATGGAAGAAAGAAAGCATCTTTAACAAATGGTGCTAGCATAACTGGATGTCAACCTGTAGAAGAATTATAATAGATCCATGATGTGGGAGTGTCATATATCAATCTGTTGATTTCATTGGCTGAGCAATAAAGAAACTGCTTGGCTTAGCTTAGAGCATAGATGGGAGGAGGAAACAGAATAGAATTCTGGGCAGAAGAGGAAGTGAGGTCAGACTCTGCTCTGCTCCCGGAGAGACTCGACAGCTCTGCTCTGGAGCAGAGACGCCATGCTTGCCATGCTACACTCTCCCAGGATGGACGAAGGCTAGAATCTTCCCGGTAAGCGCACCCTGGGGTGCTTACACACATCATTAGAAATGGGCTAGTCCAGGTGCGAGAATTAGCCTATAAGGGCTAGAGTATGGGCCAAGCAGTTCTTTAAATGAATACAGTTTGTGTGTTGTTATTTCGGGCATAAGCTAGCCAA